AAAGTCACAAACCCAACCCTACCAGGACCAATCCATTCCTTCTGTAAAACTCCTTTAAGGCCCAAATAGACCAAAGTTACAAACCCAACCCTGCCGGACCAATCCATTCCGCCTGTAAAACTACAATCCTTTAAGGCCCTATCAGACCAAAATCACAATCCCTACCAGGAAGAATCCATCCACTCTGTAAAACTCCTTTAAGGCCCAAATAGACCAAAGTCACCAACCCAACCCTACCAGGACCAATCCATCCACTCTTTAAAACTACAATCCTTTAAGGTCCAAATAGACCAAAGTCACAAACCCAACCCAAGACGAATCTATCCACTCTGTAAAACTCCTTTAAGGCCCAAATAGACCAAAGTTACAAACCCAACCCTACCAGGACCAATCCACCCACTCTGTAAGACTCCTTTAAGGCCCTATAAGACCAAAGTCACAAACCCAACCCTACCAGGACCAATCCATCCACTCTGTAAAACTCCTTTAAGGCCCAAACAGACCAAAGTTAGAAACCCAACCCTACCAGGACCAATCCATCCACTCTGTAAGACTCCTTTAAGGCCCTATAAGACCAAAGTCACAAACCCAACCCTACCAGGACCAATCCATCCAGTCTGTAAAACTCCTTTAAGGCCCAAACAGACCAAAGTCACAAACCCAATCCTACCAGGACCAATCCATTCCTTCTGTAAAACTCTTTTAAGGCCCAAACAGACCAAAGTCACAAACCCAACCCTACCAGGACGAATCCATCCAGTCTGTAAAACTCTTTTAAGGCCCAAATAGACCAAAGTCACAAACCCAACCCTACCAGGACCAATCCATCCACTCTGTAAAACTCCTTTAAGGCCCAAACAGACCAAAGTTAGAGGATAATGAGGTTGATATTGAGAACACAGTGGACTGATCATTGATCAACGGCACCGAGCCCAACCGGTTTGATTTTCTCTGTAAAGCGAGCCTTAGAGGACGTAACCAGAAATAAGCCTAGACGCGGCGACCTTCTATCGTCCGGCACGTTCTCCAAATCCTCCCTTATCCTCAGGATGTGAGTTTTCCTCCTCTCATCCTTTCTCTCCTCTCCTTTCCCGTGTCAGATTCCTCATATTTCTTTAATACAATCAGCCTCCAGGTGTCCCGTTTGGGGGAATGTATGGTGTGTTGTCATGTCTTGATTACCTATTGTGTTCACCTGGGGTTCCCCTCCCTCATGTGCTTAAATAGTCCTCGTTTCCCATGTCCTGTGCCAGTGCGTTTTCGTCTTTTTGTTCTCGCCACGTCAGGTTTGATTTTGTCACAGCCATGCCATAGTCTTGTTTACTTTATTGCCATAGCCACGTTTTTGCCACAGCCATGTTAATCTTGTTTGTACTTTTTGCCATAGTTTTGTTTCTATCCTTTGCCACAGTTTTGTTAACCTTGCTTTGTTACTTTGCCATAGCGTTGTTTTCCTTATTGCCATAGCCACATTTTTGTCATAGCCATGTTTTGCCACAGTCATGTTTTTGTCACAATTTTGTTAATCTTGATTTGATACTTTGCCACAGTTTTGTTAATCTTGATTTGATCCTTTGCCATAGCCTTGTTTACTCCTTGATATTTTGCCACAGTCTAGCTTTTCGTGCTTCAGCCTTATTTTTGCCATAGCCTTGTTTTGACCACAGCCATGTTAACCTTGTTTGTACTTTTTGCCACAGTCTTGTTTTGACCCTTTGCCACAGTTTTGTTAATCTTTATTTTGTTACTTTGCCATAGCCTTGTTTACTCCTTGATATTTTGCCACAGTGTAGCTTTTCGTGCCATAGTCTTATTTTTGCCACAGCCTTGTTTTGACCACAGCCATGTTAATCTCGTTTGTACTTTTTTGCCACAGTCTTGTTTTGATACTTTGCCACAGTTTTGTTAACCTTGCTTTGTTACTTTGCCATAGCCACGTTTTTGTCATAGCCATGTTTTTGTCACAGCCATGTTTTGTCACAATTTTGTTAATCTTGATTTGAT